GATGAAGATCTCAGATATATGCAATAATTCAAGGAAAAAACCATCGATATACCGCCAGCATCGTATTGTCAAGAATGACATCGAGTTGAAGATGCGAAAAATAGAGTGATGGCCTCTCTTGGCTATGGGCACAAAATAAATGCAGATTTTAACGAACCTATGAAATAATAACCTGTAAAAAATCATTGAGCGAGTAAAGAGGAAGGGTTTGAAGGGAAAGAGCTCTAGAAATCATATGTAGATGCTGAACAATGCTCAGAAATCCTGGAAAAAATGAGCTAGTGAAGTGAATTTTACGATTTTCGCTCGTAATTGACAGACTGTCGGGCTATATTAACCACATCCAGCCGTCAGCTCGATCTCCTGTTGGCGCTCGTTGCCTATCATGACAATGGATGGCGACCTGAGCCTCCGACCAGAAAAGATCTTGCATTTGCAGAAAAATTTTTCACTTCGAGCTTAATCACGAGTAAAATTCGGGGGGCTTTTGAAGTCAATCATTGGATCTCTTGAATGGACTGTCTCAGCTCCTGCTACTGACCTGCCCCATTGAAACTTTTTTTAACCCGATTCACAAGGGACGAAGCGGATGGAAGGTACTGACTACATCAGTTAATTCCAAAAATACTACGCAGATTAAAGATTGTGAAGCCGCTAAGACCATAGAATGACAGAGGAATTCTCAATTATCGTCCCTTCAGCTTTTCACGTATGAAGAAGCAATGCACGGTCTAAGAGCTATGAGCTCACTGATGATGATCATTTGTAGGTAATTGGAATGAAGGTAATCAGCTTACCCTCGATCAACGCAGCAACTTAAGGTACATAATTCACTGAGCTGCAAAACGGTTGTCACCTCAATCCATGAATCAGCCTCGTAGCACTCTCATTTTCTAATAGCTCATAGGAAAAGAATGTTTGCTTCATACATTCTTCGAAATTATACGAGTAGCCTACGAGATATTTAGCGAAGAAACGAAGGTGAAGAATCAGACACCACTTCGGAGACCTGATAATTTTGAGTTTCTGAGTGGAAAGTAGTCTATACCGCTCAACGCTAATGAGAGCGAGTGTAAATGAGTGGTTCAGTGCAAGGTTGGGGTTTGTATGGAATTTGTATGTTCTTAAAGTATGACCGGTAAAGTTAAGTGGGAATTCAAGAGGGACCACGGTATACCTCAAGAAGTAGCAGGTTTCGAGACTATAACTGCTGTGGGAGAAAATGCCACTGCAGATGAAAAAATTTACCAGCTGTGGTGTCAAGGTGATCCAGGTGTTACCTGCTGTACAACGCATATGTGTCTTGTTCTGAACATATCTTCTTCAACTGGGACGTGACTCACTCGGTGTCGCCCTCAGACATGGGGCGCTTGATTGACTATGTTGTTATGAGATTTCAAATCGAAAGGAGCGAAGAACTCTGCTGACACAATCAAGAAAAGTGGGGTTCTCTTAACTCCTGAAGAGGTAATTCCATGAAGGTACGTCTATCAAATAACTAAAACAGAACGGAATAAACAAACCGAGCAGAAAACTGTATGAGGTCATGCTCTGTGGAGAAGTAAAAGTCATAACAATAATCGAATGTGCATGAAGGTGAACAATAAGAGCTGGGAAGCATTGTAACGAAGCCTGAAGTGTTCGGGAACGTAATGAGCAGGGAAAGGCCACAAAAAGCATCGCTAGAGTATGTACCGAACAGGGGAAAGGCCTTAAAAAGCGCCGATTTCTGGTCAATGATATTGGGTCGACCAGGGAATGCAGAATTCCTGAGTTCATTAGCGCTGATGGATATGCATGTCAAAAAACACAAGTTACAGATACATAAAGATTTCTGCGTGTAACCCAACTCCAATATACAGTCGTGGTCAAAAGTTTAGAAACTTTTTATTGTTCGATATAGCGCGGGAACTGAATTATGTAACTGTCTCAATTTTGCATAGTAGGCATAAAAGCAAATAAAGAACACGATAAGCAACGTGTTTTTCGAGACCAAATGATGAGAGATAAAAAACACGATTTATTATTGTTATGTCCTCGTCGTGTTGAGTGGAAGCTTCATTCGAAGGCATGAGACGAGACAAAAGTGAATGCGACCATCCTCATGAGAGTTTATATAGGCAATGTGTTTATGTGATCATGATGTACTATCACTCTTACTAAACACAAATATACTGTAGTTCATTTTATGAGGAAGGTATAGTGCATTC